GGGTATGAAGAAGGCGGTCGATTGAGCGAACTCTGTTTCGGGAAAGGAGGTGTTTCATGTTGGTATTCCCGAAAGGGGCGCGGTGAATAATATACTGGTGAACTCATTGTGTCGGGACTGAAATATCCACTTGTAATGGAACCGGAGGATGAGATGCCCAGAAGGTGGACCCTATAGTATCGCCAAAGAAGGCTTCGAATGTCTGAAGTCTGAACGGAATTCTCGATTCCTTGACAAATTAGTGAAGTTAAGGCCGGGGCATGGCAGCGTTTAGAGAAGTATTGCGAAAGATCTTTACTCACAATTGCATGCCTTTGAGACGCCACATTCAAAGATACCTTACATTTAGATACTCTACGCTTTAAGTCTCGAGGTGAGTCGTAGTGAAACGACGAGAGTAACCCCTTTTAGGATTGGGATGAATAAGGGCCCCGTTGAGGAAACTTCGTCCAAAGCAAGCCAAGAAAGAACTATCGATAATAAGCTGAAACGCGTGCCAAACGGTTAGGATAGCCCACAGTATGTGATTAATGCCGACAGACTTCGAGAATAAAGGTACTCAAGGGTGCAAATCCGATCCTAGAGCACGGGTCTGACAACACAAGACTTCCGAGGTACGATGTGTTAGGCAGATGACACGAGGTGTCGTAGGCTGACTGGCAACACCTAGGCTAGCCTTGCAGTCAGACGGGTTTGCCCTTAGAATGGTGTTCTCCAGTAGCGTTGGAGGAGTGTTTTGAGTCTCGAAAGGCGTCACCTGTGCTGACAAGAGTGGCCAGTGTTCGGCTTCCCTGTTATCGATCGCGAGTAGATGGTATTGATGCGTGGAGCATTCCCGCGAACGCCACGGTAAGATGTTGTGTAGTCAGGCGAGAATGCGGCTAACCCGAATTGGCTAGACGTGCGCGACCTAAAGTGGTTGATGCATCTAAACCTCCTACTCAACTGTCTTAAACTGCGCACAGAGAAGAAATACGATCAATCAGAGGAAGGCCTCTTGATTAGTATAAAGTTTTTAGACGCGGCATTTGCTACCGATGTATGCACCGACCCCGTACACTACGTTGGCCTTGTACCACGGTACAGTTTTTGCTCTCCATAGTCAATAGACAGTATGTAGCCCCCTTTTAGCGTTCTACATTCGACGAGATTCAGCACTTGAAATTACTCATCATAAATGCTCGTTAACAAGCATGGGTATCATCTACATCCAGAACCAAGTTTTCCAACCAAGCGCTTGAAATACATCCACGCTACTAAACAACGTATATCTCAACTATGCAGCCCCCGTTGAAAGCTACTGAAAGCTCAACTCATCCTCACTCTCCTCTCCATTTATCCGTCTAGTAGACACGAACCACCTAGGGGTCTTTACTGTGACTACTCTCCTTCCACCGCGCCGCCGGTTCACACCTGCAGGGGTCTTGCTGAGCTCATCTCGATCATCATCGTTATTAAGTTCCATCTCATTAGCAATAGTGTACCCGTCCCCGCCTTCCCGCTCAGACTCGCTGTCGTCAAAATCTACCACCTCAACGTACGTCTTCCGACTGATGTTTCGAAGACTGCTATCCAATGATGCCCGAGACCGTGAATCACGTATATTAGAAATGATTGCTTTGATTTCTTTCCTTGAACGACGACTCCTTCGCGGCGCTGTTTGAGAGGATAAAAATAGCTTTGAGTTGTCGATAGATTCCTCTACCAGGCGGCAACTTTTTCGCAGTTCTGCTTTTGATGATGACCTCGAGAGTACTGGGTTCTCGCAGGCACGGCAAATCCTTCGAGGTTCCGATTCTGAATTAGAATCCTGGATAGCGGGTGACTCAGGTGGAGTGATGCGTGTCCGTTTAACAGGGATCACCACCATTGGCGATGTGCTGCGACGTTTGCGTGACAGTACTTTAAATAGAGATGACTGCGGAAACATGTCCTTATTAACTTGCTCCCACATGAAGGGTTCATTCGATAGGCTTGAGTGTGCATCTCCAACTTCCGAGGCGGCCGGGCTTCCTTCCTGCTCGTCGTCAGACGCAATAGGCGTTGGTAGCAGTTCCAAGGTTCGTATAGGCTTCCTCGGCAGATACTTGACATCCGGTTTGATGAACGGGGTACAGGCAACCCACTCCCCAATTCCCTCTTCCCATCGGAACCCGCTACCAGTCGAAAGCGTATCGCTCTTGTGCGGCGTGTTCGCCAATACAACATGGCCCTTTTCTTTCATCGATCTCTCAATCTGGCGGACAAACGCAATATGCTCTGCGTTGTTTGTGATCTGCGCAAATTCTAAGCACGATTCCAGGGCTAGTCGCTTCATGTTCCACAACTTGTGCGGAAGTCGAAATCCAGTGAGTGATAATAGTGCATCCGCAAGTTGTTGTAATTGATCGAAACCGTCGTCCTTCCAAGCCTTGCCGGAGCAGCGTGCTGTAGATGAGATGAAACCTGGTAGGGTTGCAATGGCAGAGGAGATACCGATGTTCTTCGAAGAATATTGTAAGGCAACCCAATTGATAGCGCCAACCAGTGTGGGCATGTCGAGCGAAATCATTGTCACATCCAAACGACATCCCCCAAGATGGACAAGAAAAGACGCCGACATAGTCCACAAAGCTCGGTGAGCAAATGTCTCCATATCTTCAGGGGTCGGCTCAAGCAGATCCAGATCACTTTGCACGTTGTTCCTTCTCAGGAGGCCGATGACCATAGAATCTAACACTGAGGTGACTCGCTGTACGGTGGGGTCGTTGGAAGAATTTGCTCGGTTATTGTTCAGAAGCGCAATACTAGATAATACGGTAAGAAGGCTGAGAAATGTAGTGTCCAGTGCCTTTCGGAGCTCCTTTCTTGCAGAAGGCCTTGTCTGTATTGGCACAATGTCGACTCCGCCAGCTTCAAAGAGGTTATCGTCTGGAAGACCTATGCCAACGGATATCGTGGTTTCGAGGAAACGGAAGGCGCTCTTGAGCGCCGTAGAGTCCCCATCTGATAGAGTGCGAACTAGTCTGTGCCATAGGGGTCGCATACAATCAGTCGCGAGCCATTCAAGAGGCAAGGTTTCTTGAGATATCATTTGTTCTAGGACCTCGTAGAGGAAGCGAGATCGCCCGGTACGATCTACGAAGCTCTTGGTCGTCCATAAATATATCGAAGTGTGTCGGTTGAATAGGTCGGCCTGAGGGGTTGTGGGTGTAGACAAGGGCTTCAGCGTGGGTAGGTAGGTCCGTAGGAATTTCTCTCCCTCATCCCATGCTGATGCATTGAAGCAATGCGAAACAACCATGTGTAAAGTCTCTACGTCGAGGATTTGGTCTGCAAATGCGTCGCACAGCAGTGATGTTCCATGAGCTCGAACAATGGACTTGAATGGTCGCCAACCCTGTCCGGGGCACGTTTCGAATTTGTCCTCGAGCTCGCTGTAGATTTCGTTTGAGATGTCCCGCTCGTCATTATTATCCTCGCCTGCCTTGTCGAGTGCCGCGAAATGTCCTTCCAGCTCAATGAACGCAGGCAATTGTCGAAGACATGCCCCCATGAGAGATCTCGTGCCTGTCCATCTCCTCTTCTCCCCGACTGCCGTGGCGCTGAGAAGGTTTGCGTATGCCCGAAACAAGCATCCCACCTGCTTTTCGGTATCGTATGGCATGTTTTTCTTGATGTACAACTGATCCACCTTCGCAATGAGCGGTCCTTTCTTCTTCGTGGGCGGTCTTATCGGGGAAGACTGTAATTGAGGGCTGTCCTGGAATCGTCCCCCTGTCCTCGCGACAAGGGGTGTAAAAGTGATCTCGCCTGGTCTTCCGACATTTTCGATTCCCGACCGTTGTACAGCTGTCGAACTTTTCGCTGTGCGTCCACCGTATGTCTTCTTCGCGCCTGATGGCTTCGCGCCTGGCACCCAGTCGGGATCGCAAGCCTTGTCAAAGCCTCGAGGCTTGCGCGCGCTCGCCAATTGGGAGAAGTTTGTAGTTTTGCGGGGACCAGCTTTCGTGAGCAAGGCATTGGAGATATTGCGCAATTCTCCATCTGCCGTTTGCTGCCTCTCCCACTCTTTTCGTAGTGCGGCTAGAGGAGATGATATATGTCGGAGTAGTCGGTTGCAACGCGAGGTAGTCCATCGTAGGTCGTCATCCGGAGACATAATATGTTAAGTAAGTATACACAATGCAATAGAGCTACTGCAATACTAAGTTCTATTCCAAAAAGATGTGCAAGGTGTTGGTGATGTAGATATCGACGGCAATGTCGAAATTGTGTTGACATCAAAACAATCGGTGTCGGCGTTAAGATAGACGCTAGTCTTACTTTGGAACTAGCGCGATTATCGGATTCATATCGATTAGACATGGAAGCTTCCATACGCACAATCTCATTGTCGTAACTTATTACTCGCGCGTGGGTCTCGCGTCTCTTCTTTCATACTGGTTTTCACGAATACCTCCGCCGCTAGCATCTAGATATCTCGGCTTTTCCTTTTCTCCACTCAGTTTTTTGGTGATTGCTTTCATGTTAGCTTCGTTTCACAGACTGAGAGACGTTACAATTCATGGTCTCTTTGTATTTTATGCGATTCGCAGACATGGGTCTAGATGACGGTCCTTCTTGTCTACGTTCTTAAGCTCCTTTGTTAAGCGGATTGCCGGCGGAAGGTCAATGCCATAGTAATCTTGGTGGAAATTTCTCACGGCAAATTGAGATACAGAGTGCGAAGAATATAGTATTTATTGAGAAATAATCCGATTCTCTTTTTCAGAGCACCAAAGTGATCTCTGGCAATTACAGCAGTGCTTTGCAGGGCCAACTTAATCGTTTTGCTTACCAACTGGAATTGCCTACAGGACATTCTAACTCCTTCGTAATTGTTTGTACCTAAGCAACGAGGAAGGAAGATCCGTTCATTCATGTTGAAGAAAAAAAAAGAGGCATATATAAGTAAATATTGTTATTATCAACTGTTTCCCTTATAAAGAAAGTAGAGCTACAAAATAGCAAAAAGATAATGAACGTGCCAGGGGTCGAACCTGGAATCTCTTGATACCGCTTTTGATAATCGTAGTCAAGCGCCTTGCCATTGGGCCACACGTCCTCTTATTGAATATGTTAGATCTCAAAAACTTTGACATTATATACATTATTGTTTTTCCAATAGGAAACCCAAGCGGGGGAGTGCGTGTGGCGAAACATTAGCGAAGAACCGAATGCGGGATCCCGAGAGGCTAGCGGCACGAAGGCGGTGAGCCATAATGCCCCAGCTACAGTCACCAGTCACGCCGCACCTCAGGCAACAGCATACCTCAAGTCTTCAAAATGATTGTCTCAGCTCTAAATACACTTTTTACTAAACATGCGTCTACTATTCCTATAACTTGACAGTTCCCCCTGATTGGAGCTTCCTCACAAATACGGCTTCTACCAACATACGCGCAGTTGGATCCCGACGAATCCTCAAGAGCTGCATCGCGACTTTACAATGACGACAGATACACCCCAATCTACCTTTCCCACTTTCAATGCTCAATTCTCCTCCTCAGACTTTGTTGTTGGTGCTGGCGTAGCCATCTTTCACATCGCTTCGCAGAGAGTGGTTATATGTAGCGCTGCGAATCGCCATGGACAGAAGTTCTACTTCCTGCCAAAGGGACGGCGAGATGCAGGAGAAGAGAGTGGTAAAGGCGCAGAAAGAGAGGGTTACGAAGAGGTGCGACATATGATGCGCATCACGCGTTCAGTTGAAGTGTGGTTGTGCTAACACTGTTTTCAAGTCCGGCTACCGCAATCGCCTCCTACCACTTCCCATTAGACACTGTCAGCCTCAAGCGCACCCGCGAGTCGATTCCTCTCCCCTCAGCGCGGAACCGGTATGGATGGAATTGTACCCCATGAATTATGGGGCGGTGCAATACGTGCTATACTGGTACATCGCCGAGACACTCACGCCCGAGCTTGAAATAGAGCTAGAGACGAAAGCTGGCGAAGCGTATAGGCCTCCTCCATCCTATCCAACAAATCTATCACTCCGTGATAGGGTGAAGATGGAACCAGAGGGTTACGAGCCTCTTCATCATGAGGGCACAGGCGTCGATGCAGAAGAGCAGACGTATATAAGCTACTTGCTTCCTGTCGATGAAGCTATTCAAAAACTAGGGAAGAATGGGGTTATGGCGGACGTAGTGTTGAAGGGATGGAAAGGAATTCAGGACAGATATACGCTGGAAGCGGTTATTGATTCGGAGAGTCCTCTTCAACAAGGATGATTGAAAGAGATTGGTCTAGATTTGGATAAGTAAGGACATGGAGCGACAATGAAGATAATTTTACTCGGAGAGTTGTGAAGGAGTAGTTGGTTGCGATGGGTCTCACTGCGAGTTTAGATAGAGGCTTATAATCTAAGTTGTTCTTCGTAGAGCAGAGTACAGCACACAAGCCACGAGAAGAAAACACAACACCCGACATACACTGTCTCGCTAGCGCATCGTACGATATTTCACACACTTGGGACGAATGACTATCGGATCGTTCCAGCACGCCCATCACAGATTCCCATCACATGGACTAGATACTCGCACCTCCTCTTCATGGACACGGGTTTCCTTGAATCCGGCTGTCGGATTGTGCTCGGCGTCACCTTAGCTTGTCTTCAAAGACCCACGGGGTGGTCTGCTGCACGGCCTTATCAGATCGAAGTACCAAAACCATAGCAACCACCATTCTAAGGCATTCCTCCGGAGAACATCGTAGACTGCAGACTCGCCTAAGGCCCACTGGGCATCAATTGCCCCAATCTTTGAACATCTGCTCATATCTGAACCACGCCTTCACTGGCTACCTCTTCGGGCCTTTTGGATATCTCAATGACAAGGGCGGTGAGCAATCAGTTTGGGAAGGTCAGTAGGTCGTTGTAATCTCTTCAACGACGGTCGGCTGAGAAGGAATATTGGGCATCACGTCACTCCTCTCATCCGTTCCAATTCGCATCGAGGCTTGTAGGATTCGGCGCCGCAATGCGAAATGAAAAGCCAAGTCGATCACACCCTCATCCATCGTCGATTTCCTAATCAGATCCTATATTCCTTCGTCTCAGTCATATGATATTGCACGCCCCTGTACCACTATGCGTGGCCAAGCTCGCTTGTCAAATACACCTAGCCACATGAGCCAGGCGGTTATATAAATCCCCACAAACTTCATTTGCGTATATGAACCCCACAAACGCACGTTTTCTTCGTTACCATTCAGCTCCATTGAGGTATCCAGGTATTTGTTAACGTGCCGGCGTTTTTTAACACCCATGCGCGCGACTAAACTGCTCAAAGCTTAGAAAAGCTGAAAGATCTAGCCTTTGCGGCAGAACTGGATAAAAGAGCAGCTCCCCATAATCCTGCCATTATTGTCCTGTCGTATCACGACCCTCGACGACGAAAATGTGCGCCCTTGACAAATACCATACAAATTCTCCGAACGGTCCAAGCTGAGCAGGATTGGAGGCTCTACACGTCGGCATTCACGTGAAGGAGTAGGATGTATTGCAATCTATACTGCAGGTATACCACTCTTTATCTCTATGCGTAGTCTGTGCGTGGTTGTTGGTGTTGTACTGACCTGACAAATAGGGAATACGGTCCTATCGTAGAAGAGCATGGCAACAGATAGTGCTCGATGACGATACCAAAACTCATCGGTGATAGCCGATATTGAGCGTAATGCGACTCCACCTCGAAAATAACACGAGCCGGATACGTTTAGGCAACTATGGAAGGGTTCACGTTTCGCTTGCGAGCTTGCGAATAGTCGCATATACGAGCAAGACCTCAACAGGCCATCATCCGCCTATCCAATTCGAGCTCCATCACGCGCATAGCAACCCCGCCGTCGAATTTAAGCCTCCAAGTGCAGTCCGGAGTCGACTTCCGCTTCCATAGAAGATTCGAGACTCCACAGCAAAGCTGCAGAAGCTCAGTCCTGTTCGACTAGCCACATACTCGTCTAGCATCACGTACAATATTGCTGTCGAAGATCACTAACCACAGCCAGCGTTCAAAGCATGGGAACCCTCAGGCATACAGGCGCTAGACTAGCCGGTGGATGAATACGCAGGGTTGCACGCGGCGAGGTGACGTGATGCAAGCCATGCGTCTAGAAGCTTGATTGAGGCTCGCAACTGTAAATATCCGCGCCAACGTGGTTGGAGAGAAAAGATACTTGGAGGTACTTGCGGCTTGGAACTGGATGCAATACCGTTTATGGTGCGCGCCGTTCGTTGTCCAGGATCATGATCGCCCGCGCATACCCGCCGAGAGAAGCACCATCATATCATGGCTGGTATTGATGGTCTGGCCAGACCCTCTGTCTTCGGAATGTTGTGTGACGGCGGGATATATATGGTCGCCGAACAAGCATCACAGGAACAGGATAGTCCATCTACAACAGGTTGTAGAAAACTTCAGCGTTCTTGGCCGGGGTCGACTGTAGTCTAGATGGTTTATCGACGACAATGCGAGATTGCGAAACTACCGAGGTTCGTTTTCGAATATGCTGGCAAAAAAGATGTTGAATACCAACCTGGGAAGGTCCCTGCCGATGCAACGAAGTCGATTCGAATAGTATCATGAATTTGGTCCCTGTCCTTGCCCACAACATCAAAAACCTGCTTATCGACAGCAACGCAGATTGTCACCCTCCCCACTGCAATCCTGCTTACCAGTCCATCTGCTATGTTGCATGACATCGCATAGCCCCCCCATACCTCTACGGACTGACCGGCATATGAGTTCATGCTGGCTGAACAGAGGACGCAAATGTCCACGTACCCACGCCGAACTCAAGTTCCCACCCCCAAAAATTTGCCATATGCACCGTAAGCCTCTGATGCAAACATCAGCAAGCCTTCCGATGCTCCCGTCCCGAGATCGTCGCCCGAAGTCCGACGACGCAGATACGGAGATCGCGGTACGGACGGGTCTCCTCATCCCACTCCACTCCCACTCCCACCTCAACATCCCACCCCAATTCCAACGCGCAAGCAAACAGCAAACCGAAACAACGGACAATCTTCCGCAATGCCGTCATACCGACCCCCAGAAACGCCTGCAAACACACGGCATAAACACACCCACCAAGCTAGTGAATGCCTGTCCGTTTCGCGCTCCGCACTCAGGCAACGCTGAGGCAACTCTGAGGCAGCTTGACTCCCATCGAACAAACGTAATCAAAGCCTTACCAGTCTACTAGCCACAGCCCTACAGCCCGGCGTCTTGTCCTGAGACGCAGGAATTCCGCACCATGGGGATAACCACAGGTGATGATTAGCTGATTAGCTGGCTGCGTGAAACAAACTAACCTGTATACACGCGTACGTCGATCTGGGCGGCTAGGCGTGGCGAGGCGCATAATCGTACGACAAACGTATTGTACAATACGTACTGTGCCGTCGTAGACCAGTTGGCATCCAGTCAAGTCGCGATTCGACCCTGCAAATTGATTCGTCGGCGATGAAAATCACATATCCATGGACGGCCCGGCCCCAAAACAACAGAGGGCCAAGAACGGCCGTGGCGCTGCTCCTGACACGCAGGAACCCGCGGCCATACAAACGTACATACATACTGTAACGTTCCGTCTGCCACCCGCCTTGCCGATCACCACACGCCAGAGCAGTGCCTTTGCGGGGATGGCGATAGCGATGCCCTGCTGCTTCCTCAACCATTTAACGGACTTTCCGCATTTGGGAGTCGGTAGTCGGCAGTGGCGCAGTTTCAACGTCCGTTCTGTCATCGCTATGCCCCCCACACATCGCCCACATCATCGGCACATGCTACACAGTACTCCCAGGGTCTTGCGATAACATCTCCCTTCTTATCCTTATCCTAGTTGGTGGGTGGTATGGACCGACCAAGAGAGTAGGAGCGAAGTACCACCATGCATGCACAGCACCGAGTTTGCAAAAGTATGGCCGTCAAGTAGGATTCGGTCCGATAATTGTCCAATTAGAGAGTGAGAAGCAAGGGTTTTTCATATCGTGACCAGCAAACTTCTGCAACGTGGGTGGTAGTGGCAGTGTAGATAATGATGGCATGTGAGAAGCTTGCT